TGCTTGCATGTGCCTTAGGAGGGATTCTTGGCAGCTGAATAATCCACTGCAATGATTGCAGGCAAATGGCCTTGCGTTTACAGGGCTAGAGACAAGACGTGGGGGGAGAACAAGGTTTACGTGTTGATCGCACAGAAAACAAGGCTTTCTGCCTCCACAGCGAGTGCTAAATCTTATCAGTTTGCGCACGAACTAAGTGGTGGAGGAAAGTGCAGGGTTTGTGCACATGCTTGATCACATAGATTATATCTGAAGTGTCGCAAACCTAGGAGATGAATAAGATGATAGTACAACTGTGTCCATCTCCTATCCCATTTACCAGCTCTCCTGTCATGCATCGCCGGTGATAGTTGCTGAGGTCATCGAGACCACCGAGCTGTGAAGCAGTTTAATCAGGAAATGAAGCCTGAGGCAAGTGTACACTTCCAGGGCGGACAATTAATGTATCTGTGTGCACATCCACTTGTTGGTGCGTTGAGTCCTCCTGAGAGCATCCACATTTTCTCGTATTCTAGAGTGCCAAGATTGGCTGGAGGTGGATAGTAGAGACAATATTATTAATAAGTGATTGGAGAGGCGTCAGCCCAGTCGGTATTTGTGGAGTTGTGTGAGAAGGCGTTTGCATCTCCGCAGTGGGGATTGTATTAATGGGGTCGTAGGCGTGGCCAGACCTCACATTTCGGCACGCCTTTCATGTGCTCGTAAAGACTTGTCCTTCCAGTACACGAGTGACGTTTGGAAGAACAAATAAACCAATGACACATCCAAAATTACTTGTTTATTCATTTATTCCTTATTAATATTCAAATCTTTTCCAATTTTAACATAGGTGACATGTTTTGCCTTAACTGCTTGAAAGACATAGGTGGCGCTCATCACGATGCATATCATTCAAGTGATCCCGAAGTTTGGCTGGTCCTGGGAATGATCTCTTACAATCTAGACAGATGCAGTCCCTCATTTTGGGCATCGCCAATTGATATTTTAACAATGGTCATCTCTTGGCTCCCTTTCTGCACAATCACAAGCCACTATGGGAAACTCAGTGCCGTTTGGCAAGATATTGTGAATGGGTCTGATGTGGGCTCACTTAAATCGCTCTCTTCTACCAGGCCTCCGCAATTCTCTTTGCCGTGGCTGATTTTACCGATCGCCTCAGAAAGTTGCTCTCTATTCACTTCCTCCTGATTGGCCAAAGCAGATTAGATCTAATTTCACGATCATGCAGGAGCCATCAATTCCCCGAGAGGCAAGTGAATGGAACCTTTAAATGCCATCAACCAATCCGTCTATAAGGTGTCTGTCAAACTGACAAGGCAAAATTTCCCTGTCTTTTTTCAGTTCTCGCGCACGCGAGGAACCTAAGCAAAGCTTTAAACGAGCAGAAATTTTTTATGCAGCTAGTCCAGTTTTAGCTGGTGTAAGCCCATCCATCATGGATGATCAAGTCGTGCGCAATTCGTTCCCCCTCCATGCCGTAACGTATATTGCGTCCATTATGCACACATGACAGGTAGCAATTCAATAAAATCAAGTAGTATAGTCATATCCTTAACAAAGGAGTATGCAGTTGATAGTTGCAAAATTAATTTCAGTCACTACAGCGTTACAAAGTACCTGTTTGTTGAAGAGCAAATTGTGGAGAGCAAATAGCAAGAAAAATGGAGACTACAATGTTCTGTTAGTAGGAGCTTTAAGTAGAATATCAGAGAGCTCAGTATACCTTCGTTCTTCCGCCACAGAGAAGGCGGTATCGCCAGTTACTTCATTCACTGCGTTTATGTCAGCTCCTAGAAGGGGTGGCCAAAATAATGACATCTGTTAAGTGACAGCAGTTGTGATTTTTAAGAATTAGCAGTAGTCAGTTTGCAGTTAAGGCCAGGTTATTGTTTCTCAGCTAATAAAACATGCGCAAGGTCACACTGTTTAGAAAATGCTTGTCACCTGCATCTAGGAGAATAATGACCATATTGACATTTCGTCTTCCCGTAGCGAGTATGAGTGGAGTGTCGCCATTCTGATTCGTGGCTTCAATATTTGCCCCCCGGGAAAGAAGAAGACGAACGATTGACTCATTACCACCGCAAATGGCTGCATGAAGAGGACGTTGAATCGAGGTGTCTGAAAAATTGACGGGCGCCCCACGAGCGAGCAAGATTTGTACCACCGACATATGTCTGCCTAATGCGGCCTCTGCGAGGGAGGCGTACAACTCTCTCCTCCGATACTCGATCGGGACCTCCACCGTTAAAAGTAGCTCCAATATGGCAACGTTACCCTAAACAGAAGCATTGTGGTTAACAGTTTGCAGGGGGCATTAACACCCTGTGCATTGTTATATAGTAGTGTCACAAAATGGAGATTAGATACCACTCTCACGGGTAAAGAGTAGACAGAATGGAGTGGTCTAGAGCCCACTACAGACACAAACCATATGAGATGCGTAAGTGAGGGCCGATTCATTGGAACTGTTTAATTCGGGCGTCGTGGAGGCACCTTGCAAGATCAGATATCGCACGATATCAATGTGTCCAAAGTAAACGGCATGCATTAGGGGAGTGACGTCGAAAGAATTGAAAATATTTATGGGGATTCCATGCTGCAGGAGAAGATGCACACAGCTTATGTTGCCTATCATAGCCGCCATATGTAGTGCCGTGTTACCATGTGTATCAGTGGCAGTAACTGACGCATCGTGCTTGAGGATGACGGACATGGCCTGATCAGAACCACACTTGGCGGCCTTCAAAAGAGGCAGCTCGCCATCTTCACATCGAGTCACGTTAGGGTCAATCTATTACGAAGAGAAGCAGGATAGAGCGTGAATATAAGAAAAATGCGGCAGTTGCACACATCCTTACTAGTCAAAAATGTTCCAATTTTTCTTTTCAATGAGGGGTTTAACAAAAATAGTTTAACACAGAGATTTGATGGCTCCGTGATGCAAAGTATCTACCACCTACCAGTCTGAGATATGCATGAAAAATAAGTATTGCAAACGAGAGGAAGTCCTACTAAACTGAATTAAGGCATTTTTTGTTTTAAAGTTTGCCTAAATTATTGACTACTTTAATTTTTTCGAACCTACATTCTAACTGTAAAAGTGCAAATGTATTTGGAATAAGCGAGGAGAATGAACTAACACCCAGTTGAAATAGCGATTCGAGGGCGGCAGGATTGTTGGCTACGATGGCTTGTGTCAGTGCACCCTGGTGGGAGGACTAAAATTATTCAACAAGCAGGAAACAAGAAGTTCCACCAAAGGCATTAAGTTTGCAAAAAAAATTTATTAACTGAAATAAAACGAAATTGCTCATTAATGACTTTTACGCACCTCAGGACGAATCATGCTGCTGAATTTCGGCTGTGGATTTTTAATCAGACCTCCATTTACCTGAGTTGTAATATAGATTTCAGACATTTACTTAAGAAAGTTTTTAATCTTTTAATCTACGACCAATAAAAGATTGGAATAAATTTCTAATCTGATATAGATATTCGACAAGAACACTGTCATTTCTAACAGTGGATAGCTGCTGCCCTCTTGTTTTAATTTACTGGGCAAGCGTCGGGTTTTTTTGATGTTAAACTACTAAATTAGTGCTCTATGTCAAACACCGTTACCTTTGTATGCTTTGATAATTCTCGGATCATTGTTACCAGGTCCTAAATTTGCCAATATTTTGACGCAAAATGGATTAAAAATGGGATGGTTTGGGGCAAAATAAAAAAGTGCAGATCTGGCTGTTTGCGATGTGTTAGGAGTTGCTTAAAGGTGAGAGATTTTGTGTGGACAAGGCGAAGAAGTACATAGGAAATGGTTTTTTGACACAAAAGTGTCAAAATGTCATTCACAGCATGACGGAGAAATTAAACGACCTCGGCGCCAAAAGTTGTGGGCAGTGCCACAGTTAACAGGTAGTTAATGAATTGACTTGGTAATGGCATTAAAGATGATTACATTGGAGCAGAGTAGTGTACTGATGCCTATTTGGAATTGTTCACTTGTTCAAGGAAGGGAATTACCCATTTCTTATAAATGAGGAAGTCTTCTTACTTTTCGCCAATCCGTACTAAACTTAGAAGGTTGGTTTAGACTCAGAAACGGCTACTGGCTGGAATATAGCTGAGTCGTGCATTTGACAGCGCCTCATTCTATATGTGCTTCTTGTGGGGGATAAAACAATGTCTGGAGTGCAAGGCATAGAGTGTCACAAAGAAGGCAACGCTTCATCAAAAACATCAAAAGCGATGTCAAACCAATGGTATGGTGATGCGTTGCGCGATGAGGTGAAGTATAGCTTAGTAGAAAAAAACGGGTGAAGAGTTTTCAGTCAGCAACTGGGTTCGCCTTCATTACAAGGTTGGTAAACTTGTATTCACATCTCCACGATACTCAGCGCCCAGCATTACAGTTACTTGGTTGACGGTTTTGTGAAGTGTGTTAAAATCATCATGATAACGTAACAAATAAGCTACTCCTCTCCTGCCAAAACAACATATTGAATGCGACAGAGGTTGGCTGGCTGAGAGGGGAGGAGGGGTAAGGTTAGCGTGGTGAAGGGAGGGGGGGGGGGGAGGGAATTGCCAAACTGATTTGAGTTGAAGTGCCACAAATACGGGAAAATAATCGACCAAATATGTTTTTGTGGGCACAATGAAGTTAAGTGGATGAGCTCAATGTAAGGCTTTGAGTTGATAAACGCTAATACAGATATTACCAGTAGAGAAAGCTACTGTCATGCGTACACACATACCGACACATGAGGAATTGCATCCACCTTGATAGGACTTTGTGTAAGGTGACGTTATATGGTCTAGTCTAATTCTTCATATGGCCCATAATAGATGCGTTTTATAGGAGCCTCCTTTCTTCCCTTTAAACTCTCAAGTTCTCCTCCATATTCTGGTATGATTTTTGCTTTTTCAAAGTGA